GATCCGTATAGATTTCAAACTTTCTGCCATATAAATAGGGTCGAAAATATTTGCATGCCCAGACTATGCCTAAAAGTTCTTTTTCAATGGTTGAATACTTTTGTTCAGTATTATTTAGTGTTCGAGACGCCAGTTCGGGTGTGCCTTGAGAAAGTACTGCTCCTACTGCAATGTTTGAAGCGTCAGTTGTTAAAACAAATGGTTAGTTGAAGTCTGGATATTTTAATATTGGGGCATTAATTAGAAGGTTCTTCAAATTATTGAAAGATTTTAGAAATTCGGGTGAATGTGTGCATTTAGCTTCTTTCTTGAGACAAATTGTTAAAGGTTTGGTGATTTTTGCAAAATATTTAATAAATTTGCGGTATAAACCAGCTAAACCTAGAAATGATTTTATTTCCTTCTGTGTTCGAGGTAAAGGAAAGTGTTTTACTGCATTAATTTTGTCTGGATTAGGACTAACTCCTTTATTTGTTATTTTATGACCTAAGTAAGCAACTTCATGATGTAAGAATTCGCTTTTGTCAAGTTGGACTTTGAAATTTGACTGTCTTAACCTTTCAAAAACAGATTTTAGTCTCTCGATATGTTTTTGTAAAGAGGTAGAGAAAATTATTATGTCGTCTAAGTAAACTAAACAAAATTCATTTTTAATTCCTCTTAAGACATTGTTCATTACGCCTTGAAATGTAGATGAGGCATTTTTCAAACCAAAAAGCATTCGAGTGAACTCGTAATGTCCTGTATCAGTAGAGAAAGCCGTTTTTTGAATATCTGAAGGTTCCATTTCTATTTGGTGGAAATTGGTTTTCGTGAAAATTGGTGTTTCATCCGTTAAATTTATTTTGTGTTTAACTTGATTTGTGAAAGTCAGTGGTGTATTTTCACAATAGAAAATATCTCTATATTCAAAACACAGTTTCCGAATAGCTTTGTATTCCTCTTCGTTACAATGCTTTAAACGTAGATTTTTGAGATTCGCTTTTTGAAGATTGTCAATTTGGTTATTGAAAGATGTTCGGGGGTTTTGATCTAAAAAGTTGTTTTCAGTTTCTTCAATTGGCTCTACATTTAATGGGGAAGAAATTTGGATTTTCACGGGATTTCA